ACCTCAAACCGATTCTCCGCGTGCAGAGGCTCGAACTGCGAGTGTTGGGGTGACATTGACCTAACCAGTTGGGAAGCCCCCGACTTGACTGCGGGCCGCGCGGCGGGGGTAGGGAGTCTTCCCTTCCTTCCGTGAGTTGATGCCGAAGCTTCTCCATACTGGGAAGGGAGTTCGATGCGGCGCTGAGGCTTGGCTGGCCGCACTGCCGGGTGTCGGGGAGGGAACGAAGGAACTGTTGGTGGTACTGGTACTAAGACACTTGGTGCAGCGCTTGCTGCTGGTGAAGCTGGAGTTGTTGGAACTGCTGCATTTGGGCCTGCATGGCCCGCATGCACTGCATCAAGTCTTCGAGTTGGCCTTGGCCGTCCACCGGAGGGAGAACGGTGGGTTCAGCGAAGGTCGTCCGGATTGTCGGGGGCGGCGGGACGGTTATGGGTACCACCGTTACGGGCGCGCTCAGGTTAGGAATGCCGTCCGCAGAGAGGGGGACAATGAACTACCCGATGCAAACGGTGGTAGTTGGAGTTGCTCCTTTGGGGTGCTCCGGCGTTCAGAGTTGCTAGAAGAAGCCATGGGTGTCAATGGTGCTGGTCTGCAAAAGAGGGAAGTTTCGTAGGGATTAAAGGGAGGCTTTTTGAAGCGTTTCCCACAGATGGCGCCAAATGATGCTGCACGATCTGGGCCCTCCTAGTTGGCTGTGACCTGGCTTCCGATTGGAAAGAATGACACCTGAGAGGAAGGAAAAAGTGAAGGGTTTCCGAGGAGTTATCCCGGTGGGAACACTCCGATGGCTAAGTTAGAACTGAGGAAAAATCTCAAGGAGAGAGTAGGGAGTAAGAGTGCTCAAAGTGCTTAAGCTTCAATACCTTTTTCTTATGCGAGTTAGAGTTCTTTTTATGTTGGAGCCTGGTCATGCCTGGCATAACCGCCACCGCCCTTACCGTTACTGCCAGGGCAGGTGTGGCAGGCGCAGGTTGCCGCCACAAATTGTCATCACCTGGTACGGGCTTGACAATCGTGTCATGCTTTCCAGAGGGAGCAAACAGAACACCTTATGGCGAGGAATCAGAGCCCTGCCATCGGGTCCGGTGGGTATGGATGTCAGACAGGGCTCCCCACAGCCTACCGAACTAACGCGTGCCGGACTGTCTGGGGCAGGTTTGTCCCTGTACCGAGGTGCTTGCACTGGGGGGAGGGAGGACGGTGCTGTCCCGAGGTGCTCGGGCCACTTGACCACGAGCCAGGGTGCCTCCTCTTTGGGAAAGGAGAGCTCCGGGCCCCTTACGAGGAGCTTGGGCCCCTGGGGGAGCTCAGGACCTTTAACACTTGGTGGGAGTCAAAATTGGCCTGGCGTCAAAGTCAAAATTGGCCAGCGTTGGGCTTGGCGTGTCTCTCCTGTCGAGTTGCGGTTGTGTTGTTAGGTTGAGTTGTTCACCGTGCCAGGTCATGCACACGTGTCCCCAGGCTACGAGGTCGGGTCAAATTACCCTTCATCAAGTGGCATTCTTGTAATTAAAAAAAAAAAAGCAAAAGAGAGAGAGAGTTGGTAGAGAGTGGCATTCTTATAATTTCTATGAAAAAAAGACAAAAATTACTGTAAGATTCCATTTCCCTCATCCTCAGGCCTTCTTACGTACACATTTCAGTTTAATATATTTATATAGATTTATTCTGAAAAAAAAATAAAAAGTCAGGAAAAATCTATGATCCAGGAATTGGGCAAGAGCCACGAGGCAACTGCCAAGATGACCCATCCTAAACCAACAAATCGGACCCACCATTTGATGAGACCGAATCTGCTCCTCACACATAGGCGCCTCAGGTGTGAGTGATGGGATCTGCTCCTCACAACAAATGGGCGCCTCACAGCCACATATACCATGCATTGGGAACATCTCTCATGAATAATAATCAACAAGTACAGGAGATGTTCCCAATACATGATAGGATGTGCGTGTGAGGCGCCAATCCGATTTCCATGTGTGAGGCCAATGCATGGTAAGATGTACATGTGAGGTCGGTGTGAGGCGCCGTGTCAGGAGCAGATCCATTCTCCCATTTGATTGGTCCCACCTAATTGTCTCCATAGCTTCATTACACGAGTAGAGGATAATTGGTCCACGTGTTTACTTTGTATACATTCATCTCCTGCCATCTGGCATGCCTCAGCACTTTAACCCTTCTTCCACTTGTCAAATAAACGGCATATGTTCCAGATTTTTTTAGGATTTCTCTGGAAGGGCCGGGTAGGCATTTTCCACTTTCCAGGGCCCAACCCATCTCTCCCGTCCCGTTGACTAATTCTTGTAATAATCTCAAAAGTCAGAGTTACATATTTTTAGAGAGGAATGCTCAAGGGTGGGGGTAAGGGCGACGGAATCAAAGTACTTTTATCTCCTCCATTCCCAACTTAATGTGAGTGGGTCATAGTCGATGAGTCATACATGCATATGATATGAGAAAATCTTCACCGTCTATCATCCTCTTAATCCAACAGTTCAGATTAATAATGTAGCCCACTGATCCGAAAAAACATTCGGGAAAAAAGAGGGGTAGAAAACAACAGCATGCCGTGAGAAATCATGGAGACTTTCCTGGAATTTGGACAAAAGGCAAAGGACAAACACGAAAACAAAAATATAAAGTAGGTTGAAATTGAAAGGGTGATTTATTTATTAAAAGTTATTAAAATATTTCTTATAGTTTGCAATGAATTTACTTTTATGGTGTTTGAAAGTATAGGCCTTTTTAGGATTGATTTTAAAGAAAAAATGTCCATCCTTTCAAAACTTGTTTTTCCCAAAAAAAAAAAAAAAAAACGCTTCTGCCACGTAGGCAGTGAGTAACATTATGCTGTTTGGTAAAATGATTTTCATTACCGTTTTTCATGTATGTGCTGATAGGTAAGCACCACATAGGATACACATCAGTCAACCGTTGGGAAAATGGTTCACCGATTTTTGAGGCCTACCCGATTTTTTAATAATTAGCTGAACCAAACAATGAGATACATGGGTGTTTATTGAAATGCCTATGTGGATCTGGCGTGGCATCGCTTCTTTTGAAAAATGGCCACGGTTCCAAACATCCCCTTAATTCGCCTTTGAAGTGGAAAATGACAGTTTTGACCTTAGCATTTATTTGATATATTTAATTTATAAAAAAGGATAAATTTCTTAAAATACTCCTAATTTAGGAAATTGACTAACTCTATTTTTATTATTTACGTATTATCTTAAACCGTTAAATACTAACGTGAAAAAGCAAAATGTCATATTTGTCCTCATTTACTCCTCAAATTTTTAAAATAAAACCCAACTACTTTATTGCTGAGATTCTCTCACCAATAAAGATTTGATTCAGGTTATATACGTTTTTTTCATTCTCATCGACAAAACTCAGATAAAAAAAATCCATTTTAATCTATTATTCTACAACTTTTTACTGTTTTTGTTGTTCGTTACTTTTTCATTCATTTACAATAGAAAAACAAATCTGGAAAACGAAAAGAAAAGAATTAAAACAAAAAAAGAAGACACCTAGCCTAACTAATCAAGCCTCCAATTGAATCCTCTTCCCTCTTGAAATTACATTGGCAGATGATGAAGTAAAAGAAGAATGGATCAGGACCAAGCAACGATAATTATTCTATCTAAATAAATATTGGAAGAATATTTCTATCTTCCCATCTTCACTCTTGCTAATATAGATAATTTTTTTTTATTAATTTTACTTTATGTAAAAAAGGAAGACACATTGCAATTAATCACCTGGGAAGTAATGCGCTCTCTCTCTCTCCTTCATTCTCCTGAAACTAAATATCATGCAATAAGTCTGAAAATCAAACAATATTTCATTTTAAAAGCCCGATATAAAATGCTATGGGTACTTTCGGAATCAAATAGCATAAGCCCACTCCGTTAAACATTTTCCACTCATCATAGGTGGTTAATTCACCTTTTCCACACAACAATATAAAATATTGAAAGTTTTGCAAATTATAGGAGAATTTTAATAAATATAAAATAGTAAAGTAATTTTTAATAAATTCGTGAAATTATAAGGGATGTTTTAATAAATTACGTAGATTGGAAATATAAGGGGGAGAAAGACGAGGCGACAGGCGAAAAAAGCGATAAAGGTGAATTGGGATCTGCTCCTTAGACAGGGCGCCCCACAACGACCTCACACATACATTCCACCGTTGATTGAGAATATCACCGTAAATAATCGCCCTACAACGACCTCACACATACATCCCACCGTTTATTGAGAACATCTCCGTAAATAATCGCCCCACAACGACCTCGTTCATACATCTTACCGTTTATCTCCGTAAATAATCGCCTCACAACGACCTCACACATACATCCCACCGTTCATTGAGAAAATCTCCGTAAATAATAATAATAAGAACGGGATTATTTACGGGAGATGTTCCAATGCTTGGTGGGATGTACCTGTAAAGTCGGTGTGAGGCACCATGTGAGGAGCAAATCCGATCTCGATAAAAGTATTAGGTATTCCTTCCATTCATTCCTTCTTTAATGTTTTTTTTTTTTAATTTTCGACAGACTAGAACACGTCAACCCCTTATTTGAGTCTCACGTTTCTAGTCATTCTATCTATCTGTCTACCTGATTAAAAACCCAAAAATAGAGTGAAAACCCGAAACCGCCTCTTTTCATCCAAAAAACCACGCTAAGATCTTCTCCTTCATTCCCAATACCACCGAACACCATTCCAGAAGCGGTTTTCGTCTCTCCCATCTTTCTTCCCGTGAGCGTCTCAGAGGTGGTTTTCTAGGCGTTTTTTCCCCTTTAGGGGCTTTTCTTGATAGGAACGGAACAGCGTCGGAGAAACAGAGGTTTGATTGGGAGGAAAAGAAAAGTGCGCGTGAAGGTGAAGGACTGTGATAGGATTTCGGAGACGGAGATGATGGCGATGATGAGGTGGAGTACATGGGAGGAGCTCCTCCTCGGAGGCGCCGTTCTTAGACACGGGACCCAAGACTGGGAAGCCGTCGCTGCGGAGCTCCAGGCCCGGATCCTCTATTCCTGCAGTTTCACCGCCGAGGTTATCTTTCTTGCCAATCTATCGCCGACGTTATTTCGGCGTTGTATCTCTCGCCGGAAGCATTTTTAGTTTTCTTCGTTCATTTCTTCGAGAATTACAATATAGAAATTTTAACTCATTCCCCTTGAATAATTGCTCTCTCTCTCTCTCTCTTAATTCAACGACAAGAATCGATTTACGTTTTTTTGTTTTTTTAATATTTGGCAATTCAAGAGTCAAGAATTTCTCGTCTTTTGAAAACAAAACACAAGAGTCAGGAACAAGAAATTTGCTTGCCGTCTCTGTTAATCTGTTATTGTAATTTGCTTTTCCAAAATTTGTTGTAGCGTATTTAAATGACACAAATTGTGAGAAAAAATATTAATAGTAATAATCACTTTTGTATTTATGCTTTACTACTTTTGATTAACAAAATAACTTTCCTGTGTAGATTTGTAAAGCCAAATACAAAGACTTACAGGAGCGTTATTGTGGTTGCACGTGAGTTCCAATTTTTGCTTAACAGAATGCCCAATTTGCCCCTCACTCCAATTTTAGTTGGCCTCTCAATTTTTGCTCTTTTTAGGAATATATTGTGGAAATATTATTGTTAACATTTATTTCTCTCTCCTCGTCAGAAGTTGGTTCGAAGAGCTTCGAAAGCAACGCGTTGCCGAACTGAAGCGAGAATTGGAGAAGTCTGAAGACTCCATTTGGTCGGTAATTGGTCGTCCTTTCTTAATTTCCACTTTTCCCTTCTTCCTACACAAGAAGAAAGTAGAAAAGTTGAAGTTCTGCTTTGATAATCTTTTGTACCGAAAGTACCCCTGTTTTTCGAAAACCCCAAAACGCCCATGTTCACGAAAGAGGAAGATGACGTGTAGAATCTGGCAAAGTGGCAATGAGATTTGGTCGGGGTCATTTCGGGTTGGATCGCTAAAAGTTGGACCATAACCCTTTGGGTTGATCCACGCGTCAGATGGATCAATAGTTCAACCACATGCGTCATTTTGTTTTGATCAGGTCAATGTTTTTTTTTTTTTTTTTTTGATAAAAAAGCATAGATGTTCAATGATTTTAATGGTTCAACGATCTGGTCAATATTGGTTTGGAAATAGTCAAATTGTAATCCGCCCAAGTTGTTTTGGGTCGGGTCGAGTCACTTTTTGATCGGTCAAAAGATAGGGACCTAATCCTTCTTTTCGTGTTGGGTGGGTCGGTTTCGTGGGTTGGATCGACTTTTTTGCGAGATCTTGTTGTATCGTAATTCGTACATGTTAGCGTGTTATCTGGCTAGGCTTTTTCTATTCAATTCCCTCGTGGTGGTGCTCATCATCACCATTGGTTGTCTGATATCTACAATCGTAATGCGGTTCAGTGTTTATAGGTCCCCTCCTGTGGGACCCCTTTCATCTGTATGAGTTATGAAGAGGACACGTATCACGTATGCTTTGTGAGCCAATTGCTTACGTGGGTTGTTGGGTATCGTGTTTCAGTTCTCTGGAATCAAAGCTTGAGAGCCTCAAAGCAGAAAGGGAAGGCCGCAACACTGATTCCAGCTCATGCCGGACAGAATCGCCGGCGACCCTGGGAACCTCTGACGGAGTCGATTTCTCCGGCAAAGAAACATCATCCAAGGATGGACTATCTGCTGGTAGCTTCACAGAAGAGACCACCATTAATTGGTCCTCTCAATGCAAGGGTCCGGCTCCCGTGTCAGCTCAACAAGCTGATATTAAGCCAGAGTCAGTTGAGGATTCGGACCGAGACAAGAAGTCGAACTTTGTAGATAAACTAGAGGTCACTACTGTTGTGGCCGGCCGAGGAGGGAACTTGAGAAAGAGAAGAGGGAAGAGGAAGAGGAAGGAATGTAGTAGTAATATTAGTAGGGACGTCAAGGAAGGGAGCGTTGCGGAGAGCGATGTAATGAGCTCCGCCAATGTGATTGTTGCCGTTCCGGATAAGGAAGAATCGACCCGAGATTGCAACGGGAGCGCCAGACCCACCGACGAAAACGATCGCAACGACCGTAACGGTGGGGTTGGAGTTGCTGATCTTATCGGAATCTTTAACTCTGTTGTGGAGAATGACTGTGCCTCAATGTTCCGGCGCCGGCTCGATAGCCAGGTAAGAGCTAGAACACGAAGAACAAAAATAAGCAATATTTAGCTGGAATCACTGAGCTACCCTTGTGATTTATGGAAATGCCCTTTTATAAGTTAAATTTGCATTTTTTCAAACAGAGGCGGTCGAGATACAAGCAGACCGTGCGGCAGCACCTAGATTTCGACACGATAAGAACAAGGATTATCGACCATTCGATCATGTCGAGCAAAGAGCTGTTCCGAGATTTGCTTCTGCTGGCCAACAACGCCGCGGTCTTTTACCCCAAGAATACCCGGCAACACAAATCAGCCCTCGCCTTACGAGAACTCGCCAAGAAAACATTCCAGCGGCAATTCCTCAGTGATTCTGGCCGAGAGACCGGCAGCTCGGCAACGGCAAACACGGACGCAGCTCTCCACGTGGTGGAAGCACCGAGGTTTAACCCACCCGTAAAGCCTCGAAGTATACGTCCTTGCAACCGAAAAGTTATCAGAAAAGTCAACGATTTGGGAAAATCTGTCCCTCAGAATCCTTCGAGGGAAGGCAAGAAGTCATCTGAAGCAGCTTCTCAGGTGGAGGCGTCGGCGGTGGCCAAGAAAAGCGTCGGTCGTCCCGGGAAGGTTGGACGGAGAGGTTCACGCAAACGGCCTGAAAGTCAGGCCAAAGGAAGAAAGAAAGCTCGTAGAACCTAATCGTCAGGCCTTGAAGAAATTCTTTGTGTTGTCCTTTTGTTGTATAAATTCAAGAGCCGTCTCATTCTTTTGTTTTTATTTTTTCCTCTGTATGGATGTTTGCAATTTGTATAGTCACGGCGGTTTAAAGGAGGAAATAGTTTCTTGAAGACAAGGACAACTTTTGGCTCTGAATATCAATAAAAAGTAATACTTTTATAAAGTAACTAAAATAAAATAGCTTTTTTAGAAAAATATCAAAAAAGGGCAGGAATACTGATCATCGTCTTCTCTAACTCTGTATTCATGCGAAGAAAGTGTGCGATGGTTCCACTCTACTTTTATGTTTCATGGAATGTTTGTATTAGTTATTTCTCGATAAATCCATAAGGAAGAAAAGATGTTAATTCAGTGGATGGTTGGTGGTGCCATTGACTTGTTTCTCTCCACTCACAGACTCACAGTTCTGAGCTCTATGCTATGGATCAAGAGAGTTCGAATGAGAGATGTCATGGCCGCAGCTTGAACTTTAAGGCATCGCTTCTATCAACAAGGCATCTTGTCGCAGCTGGTTCCATCGAAGCAGATGCAAATGCAGATCCCCGAGGAATTGCTCGCGATATAAGTAAAAGGATCCCATTTTCATGGGAGAGATCTCCTGGAATGCCCAATAACATTGAGAAAAGCGGCCTCCTTGCTGAGAGCCCACCACCTCCCAAGCTTCCACCGGGTCAATGGCGTCCTCTGGCGAAAGTGGCCTGCGATGATGATGATGATAAACTTGTCGACGACAACGATGATGAAGATGATAATTCAACGGACTGCAATGACGATACTGATGCCGACGACGAGGTTTTGTCATCAGATGTAATAGACGACAATTTCTCGTTATCAGAGTCCATGGATATTGTTGATAGCATGCACTTTGGGGTGCGTGGATTGGAGCATGAAGATAGATGGCGGAGTCTAGAGGAAATCACTCACCGAGTTTCATAATACGCCGTTTTCTCCCGGCAGCAGATGCCTTGGCTGCCTCTTACTCAATTTCTTCAAAGAAAAAAATGCATAAGAGGGTTCCTTCTTCTTCTGCCTACCATTTCTCAAGTGATGATGATGATGGGTTGATCAGTGATATTCAAGTCCCAGAAACAGAAAGATTTATTCATCACCGAAGTACACTGGCACGATCGTATACACCTGCCAAGGCATGTGGGCTTGCACCCTTCTTCCCTTGGCGCATGAAGCACACACTCTACGGATTGAAGAGCCCTATCGGCATGGCTTGCCCAGTTCCAAATTTTATGGCAGTTCCAGACAAACACGAAATGCTTCGACTCAAGGAAGGTGGTGGTACGGTTGATTTCATGCTAGAATATAATCTAGATAGGGTTTATTACAGATAAGGTCCATGGAAAAGTAGAGTGGAACCATCTCACACATTTCTTCGCATGAATACAGAGGCAAAGAAGACGATGAACAGTATTCCTGCCCTTTTTTGATATTTTTTTTAAAAAGTTATCTTATTTTAATTATTTTATAAAAATATTACTTTTTATTGATATTCCGGGCAAAAAGTTGCCTTTTTCTACAAGAAACCCTAAAGAATTTAAAGAAAAAAATTGAGAGTCAGATTAACTTCCAATGTCTTAACCTCCCGCACTCAACGTGCTGAACCAAAAAGCTCCTAAAACTATAGTCATTCCTTTTCCATCACTAAATGGTTACCCATTAAATCCCCAAGCCCTCTACTGCGGCAAGCTTCAGAGACTTTCCCTATGCGAGATGGCGGAATCAACAAGAAGCATTGAAGAGGTCAGAGGCAAGACGGGCTTTCTGAGTTCTTCACAACAGGTCGAGGAGCTGGGTCTAGAGCATGAAAAACATGCAACTTTGGTTGGTTCCCACTTAGAAATAAATGTGGAGCCCGTGCAAGAAGCCTTCGAAGTTGTGAACAAACGGTAAGAGGGAGAATTTTCCACGTATTAAAGTCACCTTGGAAAATATCCTAGCATTTATTAAGCATGCAAGGCATCCTTCGCGTCACGTTGAAGTGGGTCACGACAATGGCGATTGGATTTTTATCTTCGAAAAAGATGACATGCAGAAAGTTCTAAACGGTGGACCTTGGTTCATAAGAGGTAGCTGGATGCTAGTGGCAATCTGGCAAGATGGACTGATGAGAGAGAAAATCAAGTTATGGTAATAGAAGGTCTTGATTCAAATGTTCAATATTCCAAGGCACTACATATCCAATCAAAACTTCAAAGTTTTTGTGTTGGTTGCAGGTAGAGTTCTAGAAGACAATATCGAAATTGAACCAGGGAAACCAACTAGAGGAAACATGGTAAGATACCATATTGAAGTTGATCTAAGGAAACCACTTTTGCGAGGATTTTTTTTTGAAAAACAACAATAACCCAGTCTGGATCAGCTTTGCCTACGAAAACCTCACCAAACTCTGTCTCTACTGGTGTGTCCGGAGGCGTGTCGTTAACAACTTTGGAACACCAGTTTAATTATTTGAAAAATTTTTCGTTTCTCAAACAACTACTAACATTATAAATGGGTGAGAACGGGTCGTATCCTCAGGGAAGCAAATGAAAAATTAATATATACTTAGATCCAGACAAGAGAATGCAATCGGGAATGGCAGAAAATACGAAAATAAAATTTGTTGTTGCTGAAATTAAATGTTTCGAATTTAAATAAGACAATAAATAAAAATTAGAATTTAATAAAGTATGGGAATCAACAAGGGAACTAAAAGAAATAAAAAAAATGATCCAGAATCCAGATCGAGTAGCGGTAGCTGCAGATCAGCTAGACAGTTTGCAGAAACCCCTCCTGACAAGAACCAGGCGTCCGTCCTTTCTACAACCCTCGAACCCCTCGAGACACCTTATCCTTGAACCGAACAAATTCAGATCTACAAAACTGAGAAACGAACAAGAATTAAATCTAAAAGACTACAAAAATAAAAATAACAAAAAAAGAAAAGAAAAAAAGAAAGAATGGTTGATCAGATCTAGTGGCGGTAGTTGCAAAATGGTTGAACAGCTTGCAAGAACCCCTCCTGACAAGACCTGGGCGTCCTCCCCTTCTACAACCCTTGAACTCCTCAAGAAACCTTAGCCTTGTTAACTCGGCGAATTGACCAACCCCTTCTACAGGGCCCCAGTGACCCTTTTTATAGAGAATGGTGGACACAACTGGAAATAGGGAGAAAGATGGGGGCGGCAACTGGGGTTTAGCAAAGTTAGGGACGCCCTAGGGTTTCTAATGGATGGCTAAGGTGGTTTTGGGGTGATCCTATGGCTGAAAATAAAATGAGAGGGCGCCCAATATTGTGTAGGGCTAAGATTTGGGAGCCCAGAAATGGAGGGTGTAGATTAGAACATCTAGGGTTGAAGGGTTAAGATTAAAAGAATACGTGGTGCCCTAGATTGAATGGTCGGGATATAGGATGGAGGGAGTGCCTAAGATTTAATGGTGAGGATTAACAGAATATGTGGCACCCTAGGGTTTAAAAGCTATAAAGGAGAGCCCTAAAATGAGTGAAAGGATTAGGTTAAAAAGGCTCCCTAGGGTTTGATAAGGAGAGAGGAGTATGGTAATACAATAGGATGGGCGCCAATTAGGTTTAGCAGATAGGAGGCGCCCTCCTGTTCTCAGTTCTTTACAAAAACACCCATTCTCTTAGCTGGACTACACACCAGCTTCCCAAAAACTACACTTCAACATAAAAAACTTCTCAGTTTTCTACATAATTTGCATAGAGACCCTCAGAGGCCACATAATTGATTTTAACTGGGAAAATGGTACACTTTGACTACTTTAAGGCCGAAAATACCCCTGAATTGATGCCTTTAACGCAACAAAATGCAAGGTTATCACACCCCCAACTTAAACATTGCTAGTCCCTTAACAATCCAGCCATAAAATTACACTGAGTATATAGATCTTTCCCATTACAAGGTTATCCCTAACAGAATTAATCAAGCATCATGATTCCAGCATTCTCAAACTCTGTATAGATCGGTATTGGGCTTTAGGGGTAAAACTGTTTTATTTTGAATATTACCGAAACATGGCTTAAAAATATTATTTACCCTTCCATTTGCATACTATCTTGATAAGATGAGATTGATTTTAAAATCAAATATGTATTCTTCTTATTATTTTTGACAACGGATTTCTACCCCTGAACTTATTTTTATTGTTACCTTTCATCGTTTTATGCAAATCTTGACACTTGATAGGTGAAGAGACCCGGTTACTAAGTGTTAGGTAATTGTCTTTGGCATTCTCTTTTTCCGTTTGACGCGAATCTCGAGACTTGACTTAGGTGAAGAGACCCGGTTACTAAGTCTAGGGTGTCCACTGACTTTTTATTCTCTCTCTCTCTCTCTTTCTCTCTCTCTCTCTCTCTCTCTTTCTCTCTCTCTCTCTCTCTCTCTCTCTTTGCAACACTATTCAGGGTAGTACACTGTCTCTTAACAATTTGAAGAATTTTGTCTAATTTCTCAATCTTTCTCTTCCTATCTTGATAGGGGCAAACTTGGGAGTATTTTCTAGATTCTAAACGGTTTCGACAATATTCAAATAAGGCCAATTTTTAACTCCTATCACTTGCTACCAATTTCTACAGAATTCAATATTCTTTTATCAGTTTCCTTAACTTTTTCTCTTTGGGAATCTCTTTTAATGGAAAATTTTAAAAATTTCAGTGAAATTTAATTCTCCATCTTTAAAGGCTTAGCTTCACAATTTTTTTTTTCAATTTTTCTCTCTTTCCTCATCCCCAACTTAAATGTCGTTGTCCCTAATGGCATGACTAGAATGATGCAAAGAAGATTTGGGCCAAAGGGAGCAACGAGTAGGGTTTTCCTAAGGGGTTCAAGGTATCCACCCGGTCTTGAATCAAGAAAAAAAAACTCTAATCTTAAAATTAACTGAAAAAACTACGTTGGGTTGCCTCCTAACCAACGCTAAGTTTAACGTCTTCAGCCAGACACAACTATTTATCTCTCTCATCCAAACTCTCATACTTACTTTCGTTTTCATACCAACCAAGACCAATTCGGGCTAACCAAGGGGTAGGTAAATCATTCACGAGATTGTCCACTATGTCCACACTGCCTTCATCTTCCCCTAGGTTTGGATGCTTAGAGGCATTAA